TTGAATCACACGAGCCACGGTAAAAATGAAGAGCATACCGTTTATTGTGACAGGTTTGGTGTTTGATTAAATGTGTCCACCAGAGATCCAGTGCAGTAAATTGTCAAAGGTTATGATGTGTTCTTGTACACACGCGGTCACTAAACGAACATGACGGTGTCACTAGTGGGATTTGTTAGCGGTCTGACGCAAAGTGAAGCTAATTACTACTTTTAACCACTCATGTCCATACCATAAACATACCCCATGTAACGTGGTGTAAGATCAGAGTTGCTTTCCTTGGAACGAAGTAGTCAGAGAGAAATACTTGGCACGCACAAGCTTCAAGATAAGATTATTTGTGTGGGATCGTAAAGCTTGAACGATGCAGTACCACTTGAATAGAACCGAAGGTGAGGTTTGAACTGCAATCGAGGGCGACAATACAACCAAACGCTATTAGCAGTGGCTGACGCATATGACGGTGAATTTGAAGCACAAGACATATCTTGAGACAGAGAAAGAAACTGAGAGATTGATTGGACAATAATAAAAAAAGTTGATACGAAATCATTGGGTTGTAATCATTGGTGCATTAAAGCGATGGTAGGACAACCTTTGGAACACGTTCTGTGTCAGAACAATTGAGATGTATACAACATCTACATTACATGTATAGTATTAGGCTGTTTATGCAATTCAAGTGTAAAACCAGCCTTACAATTCGAATGTCAAACCACTAATCTGATCCTGCATTTCAAATTTAACGCATGCCAGTCTCACAATTAATTTGTAATACATCTCACAAGGATACACTTAAAGTATCTATCGCAAGGTTAGCATGATTTTGCAAGATACCTACAACGTTATAAATATGTGGCGTTGGCAGATGGTCAAGGGTATCTTCCATATGATGAAATAACAAACATAATAGCTTACAGCTAATGTCTATAATTATCCATCATCCTTTTGTGTTGATGGTTGCTTTGATACACTAATTTACTCAGAGACAAACGTTATTGTGACATGGTATTTGTTCTTGTAATTTTGAGAATGCATTTTGGGATTTGAAACAGAGAAATACTGTATTAAAATGGCCAAAGAAAGTTAACGCAACCAAGGAGTTGTACAAATTGCACAAAATTTGCAAGAAGCATGGCATACTCGAGAGAAATTGTCGGCAATGTCAGCAAGACAAGCAAACACATACCGTGTCCATTCCCAAAAGTGCAGAAGGGGAAAATGGCCGATGGAGAGCTATAGGTATACTTCAGTCTGGTGCATCGCAGCATAACTATTTACTTCAATCCACCGTCCATAGATGCAATCTGTTTCTCTTCGTTTTCAACAGAACAATCAACTCCACAAAATCGAAAATAAAATGAATTCCACCAGGACGTTCAGCGACGTTTCGTGCCGCCAGTGAGGCGAAGGTGTCGTGCATGCATCAATGCACAAGGTGGACACACTCACTGCTGACTGAGTGAACTTGCTTATGACCACCCTCGTGTGTTGTCGTTCATTTGCAGGCGCTGTTTGTGTGGAGTGTTGATCCTTACCATACTGCGCAACATTTGTCTTTCCATGTAATAACATTTCATTCGCGATAGTAAAAGTTTCAAACTCATTATGTTTTATGTTGGTGTGTTTTAGAATATTTTCCTTTAGGTGTACTTGTAAATACATTAAATTTGTATTTCTAAGACTTATGATGGCAATTGAATCGAACTGAAACAAACTTCTTTGGCTGTTTTTAGTGAGTCTCTCTACATGATTTTTCATTAGTGTACACCCACACTAAAACAACCAATAAACAAAGGGTGATATAAACAATGATCAATATTTCTTTGCGAAGAACCTAGATAATGAGTATGACAGATATGTATTGGATCCGTGTAAATCCCTGTAAAGGTCAATCCAAGCCTTATCAATGTTTAAATGAGCCAAGCAAGATGCATCTTAACCAGTACAAACAAGCTGAAGACACTACGACTAGTTGATATTTCTCCCATAACCTATACAAATTCGTCTCTGCTAAGACTTTTACATGGCTATAATTGCATCAAGATATCTCTAATGGAACAAAATATACGATTTTTAAAAGATATCTCACTTGCTTCATTTCGTTTACAAAGATCCTCGATAAAGATATCCATTAAAAACTTGCAGATCTATTCACGTGGAAGTGATCAATTCACAACTGCCGTGGAAGCTGACACACTCTTGATGGACCTATCTTCTTGCCAAGGTTGGTTGGTGGACTATTAGAAATTGAGGCTGTGTTAAATTGGATTCTAACAGTTTCATTCTCGAGTTGACAAGATTTGGTATTTTTCTGAAACATTAATTGATATTGTCACTGAAACCACCCTTGACACCTCCACGAATCAATGTGTAAGTACGTCATGGCACACCATTGATGTAGAAAGAAAGAAAAACTGTTCATATTTTCTTTGCGTGAATGGCAGAGGGATCTTAATAAGGGACTGGTCATATTCTATGGCAGGGGGAGTGATGCTGGATGTAATGGGAGGGGGGTATTCACCCATTTTGTTCTGGGGAGGTAGGGGGGTCATCAATTTGTACACATACATGTACTAGGCAGGGGGACAGCAATTTTGTTCATGACATGCAGGGGTCCTTATTTCGTACGTACATTTTAGTGGGGCCATTCACATGACACATGTGCTTCTAAATCACCCCTCCAACCATAAATTCTGAACGGTCCCTAAGGCTCATGGTAATGTTCCTCGTGGCGATCCAGCATGCAGAGTAATCGCTCACTCATGATTCAGACTCAATGCCTGATGATATTCATAATCGATATGATTAAAATCTGCTGGATAAACCGCTTCTGGCTCTGTTGAACGTATATTATGCAAACCTATTTGGCAAACAGTATGATGTATGTTCCCACGCCTGTTATGACCAGTTTTGTACAATTTTAAGGAAGGGTCACACATACTCTTCGAACGTACATACCAAGCTGCCGTGAACCTATTACATTATTCAGATATATATTTTGACACATGTTTCCCTTCTAGCTAATGAAGCTATTCTCAAAAAGAAGAAGGTCATCTCCATGATGCGGTCCAAGGTGACACGTAGTCCTGATCACGTAGCGTGTCCGGGATGAGATGCTAAGACGATCAACGAGTGTCAATCACAGACCAAGACCGAGAATAGGAAACAACTACAATAAATTAACCATGAATGGACCTTTAAAGATGCGAAAAGGTCTACAGGAAGTCACAAATCGCATGATTTACTCCATGCGCCAATACACTTATATTCCGATGATCAAAACCATAGTTTTGTAACGTTTATATAAAATATTAACGTGTCGGTCCGTAACTGAATTGCAAAATATCGTCACGACAGGAATAGAATATCTAAACGGCGCAAGGTATTGAATACCTTACAGCCGACAATGTCTAATGTTTTCATACCCAGCTTTGGAAAACGTTCTTTCAGAAAATATCAAGTTGTTGTGTGAACAAGCTGACATCTCTAACAGAGTGGGACACAACGGTCGTTAACCGACAAGATGCGCTGCACATTTCCTTTTAAGGTTTACGATTTCTTTCAAGGTGAGGTCCAAGGACGATGCACAGTGGCATGTGCCACTGTCATTGGATCCAGAACAATATCTTCTAGAATAGCGGAAAACAGCTCTATATTTACCGCAGAAGCAAACGCCATCTTAACAGCTCTTAAATATATTCAAAGACATCCTAAACATAAACAATATATAATCTTTTCTGACTCACTTTCTTGCCTTCAGGCGATTAAAAATCTATCTTGCAAACATCCACTTTTAATTGAAATAATCGAATTATATAATGAACTTGCTACTGGCCAATGCGACATCTTCTTTTGTTGGTTGCCCAGCCACGTTGGCATTTCTGGGAACACAATGGCTGATCTTGTTGCCAAGGCGGCACTCAACAAATCTGTGACACCACTTCTTATTCCATATTCTGATTATAAAGCTGGCATTAGAACTTACATCCGTGATCTGATGCAGAAGAAGTGGGACACCCAAGTAGGTATTAATAAATTACATGAAATAAAACCCTACATTGGTTATACCTACTTGGGTTGTCAGTCCAGATTTGAGGAGGTCATTATGCGACGATGTCGCATTGGCCATACGCGTTATACTCACAAATACCTATTGAAAGGTGAGGATCCTCCGTTTTGTATCCCTTGTGATGAGAGAACCACGGTCAAGCATGTCCTGCTTGACTGTGTTGAATTCTCCATCATAAGGGATAAATATTTCAATGTAAAAACAATGAAGGATCTTTTTACAAATGTTAATTATCATTTAATTATTGGCTTTTTAAAAGAAATTGATTTAATGAATGAATTTTGATTAATATGTTCTGTACATAGATGTATTTTAATTATTGGTAGATTTGATTAGTAACTTAGATTGTGAGTGGCAGTGCCCTCAAAGGGGGTTGAAGTAGCGTAAAATTATTGTCCTCCTGAGAGGGTACGTAAGTCCCAAAACATTCAAAGTAAATTTCAACTTACTACTCTTTTAATCGTAGAATATATGTTCGTTTAATTTATGGCTAGATTATCTAACATTGCTAATAGCTGAGGGGATGGTGTAAATCCAGCTAGGGTCCATGCAGGAAGCCAATGTACTGTAAGTCCCCATGGTCCCTAGTATGGTGATCTGCCTTCAGTTGTTGGCAATGTATAGCCGGTTTTTACCTTGTATTGTCCTATAGTTCGACTGGTTTAGATTTGATTGCTAGTTTTAAATTCGAATCTGTGATAATCTAGTTATTTTACTGTCCTTCGTTGACAGGTTTTTTATAGTTTGCCCTTGCTTATTATGCATAAAATTAATTGTTCTCGTCACGATATGGCTGAAATATTGCCGATGTGACGTTAAATTTTAACTCACTCACTCACTCTTTCAAGGTGAAGCGAAAAGAGGCGTTTTATACAATTAATAAATACGTGAAAATACACTATTGGTGTGTCTATTAACAAGTTGAAAAATGCTGTTCGTCGATGGACGTCCAAAGCTCATTCCAAGCAGGTGGGGTACATATCAAAATTTTTAGGGTTGATAAATTAAATAGTTTTCAGACAAATCAGGTCAGACGTGAACTGTTACACTGTTTTCAGACAATGTGTACATGTCACTCAGGTTTTGGAAGAAATACCTTGGAACTGAACATGATTCAATTCCTATAAGTCCCTTTGGTGTTTAGCAAAATTAAGTGTGAAGAGTATATGAACGGATCCCTGAAAATCAGTGATGACACAAGGTGTTCGAGAAAATAATTAACACGTCCTTTTAAGAGACTTAAGGCTATGTCGAAATATTGCAGCACTCACCGATACAATATCTGGCCATAACAAAACCTGCAAAACCCAATCATAAGCATGATTTCACAAATGGCAGTGTACCCGGTATATCTTGCCTCACCGGTGAAACCTGTTTAACTTGTTAAAGTTCTGCAAAACACGATGTTCCTTAAATAACAAATGCTTCTTGTTTGATAACTACCATTGTGAAACAGTTACTAGTATTCGACGTCATCATAGATGTTGGTATCTAATCGCCACATATGCCATTCTTAACTGAAAGTTAATGCTTAAAACTATAAATACTCAGCTTACTATTTCTTAGAAACCAGGAACATCCCTTAACGTCACTGACCGTATGAAGGTTTGACTAGTTGTAGTTTCATGTATGGGTCAGCTCGCTTGTCGTACAGTCGAAAGCTGGAAACGACTGCAGTATCTGATTATGATCGGAAACATTCAAAATATCTCTCAACTATGACTCTCAATTAGGCAAATTAATCATTTGTATTATTGTATCAGGTTCATTTAATCAGGAAAACCAAACTGATTTCATAACATGGCATCATGTATCAAGCAGTCAAATATTAAAGAAAAAATGAATATCTTACTCTTAGCGGGTTAGGCGGCTGACTCTATGAGCTGGCGATTAGGGTGTGGGTTCGAATCCCGGATGGGACTCAACCCAACAAAGGACTAGAATCTGTACTTTACTAAGGAAGTGTAATACCAAATATAACATAATATATGTTACAATATCTTACTTATAAAGCATTATATAAAGACACACTGTTGCCGATGCTACTTCAGTTGTAATCTCATTCCCTCGTAGGATGACAGAATATAATCATGGCATTGTATGCGTTTCCACTTTCTCATCAGTGTAGAAATTTCGACACCAAAAAACTTTGACCTAACTATCGTACCGACAAGCAGTATGGGAAATTTAATAGAAATATATATGTTGCTCTTATGAGAGTGGATGTTTAGATGTATCAATGGGTATGTGTAAAGCATATGTCCATAATTAGACATCTACTAAAGCGTTTATTTCACAGTGCTCCAGTGTATCTGATTGGTTTGAACTGTGCATTAAGAGCTGGGGATGAACACAGAAATCTAAGAGTGGGACCGAATTCACAGTTATTCCTGACCGATACCGAAGATGGGTGTAAAACTCTTAGGTACACAGAGGATGTTTCCAAAACAAACAGAAGAGGAATAACACACAGGCGCATGGAAAAGAAATCAATAAGCATATCCGTCAACAGAGAGCGACCTGAGAGATGCCTAATTCGTCTCTACCAAAAGAACATGTCACTTCGGTGAGTAATAAATAGTATTACTATGATTATATTACATGTGAATATTTTAGTTTGATTTGATAATGTTGTTTAAAAATACTTGATTTTGGTCTCGCTCGCTGCTTAGACCTGATTGGTTATCAACGTATGTTAAACCCAATCTCACTCTCACTGATATTTTGTATACACAAGAAGGCATGACATGTGCGACTGTCAGAAATAATTTATTCTATTTTTGTCTTGGTATATAATATTGGAATTACTGTCACAATGTAGTGGCATTATTGTAAATTATCATTGAATGGGCAAGATGATATCTATTTCTCTTTTAGGCCTAGAGATGGCAAGTCTTCTGCTTTCTACCTCCGACAAAAAAGGTTTGTGAAAGATAACGCGTGGTTTGCTGACTGTCCTATTGGTAAACATCCTTTGAGAGGAACAGTCGGGCGAATATGCAAACTTGCTGGGTTTGCAGGATTCTACTCCAACCACTCTCTGAGAGCAACAACAGCTACACGTCTCTACGACGCCGGTGTAGACGAACAGCTTATTGCAGAGAGGACGGGGCATAAATCTGTAGCCATTAGGAGTTACAAGGTGTGTTAACAGTTATTCTTTATCATAAACTTGCCCCCAAAAGACGTTTTACATCAATAGGTTTTTGGGCGAACTATAATGTAACTACTTTAAATATAATTTGTCGGCACAAATGTTCCACATTTCAATTTTTGGGCCACGTCCTTGTGCATATCGATTTATATACAGCAATTCGTCTGCCTAAGATTATTTTATTCAAACTGTCACCTTAACTTCAGATAGCAGGCTTTGCCTATATTATATTTACCAGAAGGTCCTTAATATAAGATCATGATATGCTTCTGTGAATAATGTTCACGTTTTCCTAACGCAGAGAACATCATCTGAGATGGAGGCCCGGGTTGATGACATAATACAGAGGAAACGCCCATGTGTCACAGCTGCAGCTACAGCCACATCAACGACATCGTCGCCCACGTTCTCGGTCTCCGCCCCTCCATCCGCCACTGAACATGCCACTGAACATGCCACTGTAGTCCAAGATGAAACTTCTTCCCCGCGAGATCTTCAACTAGGTTTGAAAGATGGTGTGACTCTGTCTCTTCAATTTTGAATTGAAATATAATGTTATTTGTGTTCTTATTGATATGTGTTATTTTTCCAAACCACTGTCATAATGTTTGCGTTTAACAACCAATTGAATGAGGAATTGTTGAAAACGGTTAGATCCCATTTTCAACCAACCAAAAGCTGGTTACTTGATGACGTCATGCTGTCTCCATCTGCTGTATTTCTGCGATCAGTTTTGGTAACATGAGAACGTTGCATACTATGGAACAGAGACAGCTCGGCTTACTATGAGAGCGTACACATGACTATGGGAGAGTAGACTTTAGTTACAAACTATGGGAACCTTTCCCTTAGTTTGTTTAACTAATAGCTTTTGCAGTTAACATGAAAATTTACCCTTTTGCGACTAACATCCACATAACTTAGTTTTAAAAGCGGATAGTGTTATGGTAAATGGTTACGTGCTCATGGAGGCCTGCATATGTCAAGAATTCGATGTGTAAACCTTTGACCGTAGGTCTCCAAATCTCCGATATTCTCAATATGTCCCTATGCTTTGAACACTATACCAGTGTTACTGGGTGCAACCAGTGTCGTGAACGAGCGAGACCTGCATCCATTCAGCTGAAATGGTGTTTAAAGCAGATACACCAGGTATGGTACGGGCTGTAAATGTTGCCGGTTTTAATATCTGTCGGAGATGTGTGGTTCCAATCCATCGATCTTGACTTGGAGTCGTTACAGGTAGGCGGCCACATCGGGGGCGGTCGATAACTTGATAGTTTTTCTATAAATGTACCCATAAGTGATGTCTCTATGGACGGTGAATAGACAACTAACGTTACATGGCGGCGTAACAGACTGAAGCATACTTATAACTTATAACCGTCTGTCGTTTATCCCGAGTTATGGCAACTCTTCTTCCAGAATGAGGAATAGATGTGTCTTACTTACTCCCCTACTTCCTAAGACTTGATTGTTTTTCTGTAAATGTACCCATAAGTGATGTCTCTATAGACGGTGAATAGACAACTAACGTTACACGGCGGCGTAACAAACTGAAGCATACTTATAACTTATAACCGTATGTCGTTCATCCCGAGGGTTGGCAACTCTTCTTCCAGAATGAGGAATAGATGTGTCTTCCTTACTCCCCCACTTCCTAAGACTGCATTGAGTGGAAATGATAAGCTCCTTGCTCTCTGGCCTTTGCAAGTAAACGCTGCTGACCACGTTTCTGGAATATGTTAATATGCTTTTTGTAAATGTCGTATATTCCAGCATTGCAAGACACCCTGATTCAAATCCATGCATTCATACACAAGATTACAAATGACAAAACTCCACGTGACAATAACCTTTGCCTCTGAGTTTATTAACTCAACCAAGTCGGAAAGAGAGACGGTAGGTCAAGCCATCTATGTTACTTCATTTTTTACCAAAATATTACTTATTGGATTTCGAATTTTCATTGCTTGTTTGAGCGCTGAGACTGGTAGATTCCACCTTATAGATGAACTGACTGGAGTCTTGGTCTGTATTCATGACCATTCACCCAATCGACCCACATCACATACCTTAGACAAAATTATGAAACGAGTGCAAATTTTGCCGAGAACTGAATCAAACGAAAACTGGTTCTATTCTGGCCACAAGTCATGAAATACGCTGTTCTGATCAGCATGGGTTTCTTTATTCCTACGATGTGTCACCTTTAGTGAAATGGAGGCTTTCTCCCGATCGATTAATTACATTATCAGTTCTTTAATGGACACAAACTACTCTGCTGATGTAAATTCCTGCATTGAGGAAGAAGATAATATTGTTTTTCGACACATCAACATATTTGCAGCAACAGTTGCAATTCTCTTGTCACGGTGCGTTACTAACGATTACGTCGGCGACGCAAAAGTAACGCCCCACCCACAAGGAACTGACTTTAAAGTGTCAAGAATTATTGCACGCATTAAAGAGTACATCACAAGAAGTAAACGAATAATCACCAGATCGATTGCTTTCAGTCGCGGACAGAAAGATAAATCAACTTGCGCCTTGTGCCTATAAATAATATTATCACAAGACAATAACCAAACAACTAAAGAATAAAATGGCTTTACGATATTAATCATAAGTCCTTATACACAGCTGACTCTATGTAACACACAGTAGGCACTACCAAACGGCCACGACAATAGTCCACATAAATGAATAGATACTAGATCAAATCACGTGTTACGGAATCACCTCTGTATGCACAAATGGATAGTGATTCCGTTCTTTGAGCTTCATCGGGGTTGTCAATGAATTCAAGTTTGGGATAATCTTGCGAAATATATTCTTCAGCATCAAACTTGTTTAGGGGAGGTGAGACAATGCACGTCGGAGATGGAATCCGTTCGGCATCTTCCCAATGCTATTTCACAGTCTTTAATCCGATAATAGATCATAGTATTTTAACTAACATAAGTAATATCAGTACCATGCAGCGTTTTTGGTAATAGATACTATAAAGGACACACGAAACCAGGGTGCGGTCTTTCCTGATCAATAGGGACCTTGTCACTGTTGCATAGATGTAGAAGATGCAAGTCTTTTTTGTATTGACTGACAATATAACTAGTGCCATACCACGCAAAATGGCACCAAAGCCTCACTGAGTGTAAATTTATTTCTAAATATTTAAACACAAACATATATTATTCTAAACATCTTTTTCACATCAGTCTTGGAGAGGACAAATAACAGCCTGAAGATAATAATGATGTTCAGTCGTCCCCAAGGTAGCACGTAATTAGTTGTTGTGATCATACGTATAGGTGTATGATATAGGTGCTGATACACTAATTAGGATGTGCTGTCAGTAATGAACGACCATCTTGTATCACCACCATAACATGGTCATCCAGAAGCACATGCTGATTGATAATACAGTCGGGTGCGAAAAACGGATGCATGATTTTGTTTCGATTTCTAATTACTATAGAATTATTTTTTTCGCTTTTTATACGTACACTATTCTTCAAATACATTTCTTTTGTTCTTTGGTATGTCCAGTTATATGTGCACGAGCTGACCGTCTGGCAACAAACACACACATATACAAAAACACATATATTTTAGATGTATAGGTGTGTTAATATGCACTACAGAAATGCCTTGGTTTCCTGAAAGCTGGAACCAATCCGTTTAGTGGGTAATTGGGGAATCCAGTGGGTTTCCATTCACTGAAACTGAGTAACTGAGTTTCCAACAAGATTCCATTTTGGATTCTGTGATTTTTGCATTTCTGTAAATGGAAACCAACAAGAAACTAAGGTTATAGGTTTCTTGTTGGTTTCCATTCCTAGAAGTTGCAATTGAAGATTCAATTAAATAGAAACCAACATATAACAAGAAAATATAGTTTCATGTTGGTTTCCTGTGCACTGTTTTGAACTAAGTAACTTACAATTTGCAAATTTTTGGTATGAAGTTGACCATCCTGGCATCCAGTTGGTATCCATTCATTGAAACTGGGTAACCCAGTTTCCTAATATAATCCATAATGGATACTGTAAACTTATAGTTCCGGAAATGGAAACCAACAAGAAACTATGGTCATGTGTATACTGTTGGTTTCCATTTATGAAACTTAGTTTTGAAGATTAACTGCTTTCATATTATATTACATTATCAGTAATTGTGTAGAAGTATTATGAGGTCTGAAAATTCAAAATGAATATGCCTTGGGAAGGAATATCAAATTTACATTTCAAAAAGTACATAATTTGTAAGATTGCTTAGATGAACAAGAAGAAAGGTTACCCCAAGTAGTTGTTGCCGCATCATTCGGTGGATAATAGCGGTATAATTGTATAATGTGTCTTCAAACTGATGATTCAAAAACAAAAGACACTTTTCATTTCTTCGCATTCTTTTTTATTCAGTATCAACTCATACATGTGATAGGCAGATAAATTAATCAGTATCATATGTCCGCTACCGTACACACAAACTTCACAATAATCATACTAAACATACAAATGGTGGGGTAAGGGAACAATAACTATTAATGGCCTTTGTCCAGCACCAGGCAAACTTAGTTTGGATTGGGATAAATGAGGCAGGTTCAGGGGTCAGTTGTCTGCTTTGCCAAACTGAGGATGAGGCACTTTCTTTATCTGAAAGGAAATAATAAAACAATGAAAAATATATGCAAGAATAACATTTTGAAAGGTGAATTGACTCAGCATTTAAAAAGGTACATTGGTCAAACTTTTTATTTACCTGTTTTTGATGAACCAAGATGTTGATGTTGATGTTTTGAGAGAGAGAGAGAGAGAGAGAGAGAGAGAGAGAGAGAGAGAGAGAGAGAGAGAGAGAGAGAGAGACATACTACTCTTGCTTTTTATAGTTTGGCAATTCAAACTGAGGGTGAAGTTATTTTGTATAACATCTTACAACGGAACATTTTTAGCCAAACAATCCTTTCACAGCGTAAGTAGTCCGAAATAATTTCAGTCTTTCTATAAACTCCCAGCCCCGCCGACCATATTTCGTACCAGAAAAACAGATGGTGGGTCCCATTCCATTCAAGGACCCCCCGAGACTGACGTTTCTTCTGACTTGTGATCCATGCGCCATGCACGTGACTACACGTTACCATTTTGTATAAGGGCCTATTATTTCTGTCTGATAACGCCATTTTTAGTCACTGTTATGCCTTTGTGATTGTGAACCAGCTCCGGTGTATTTCAATATAATTTGTTGACTGTTCATTGATCTTGAGTGATTTTCGCTGATTTTGTACGTCCCATTTTCTTCACTTTACAATTTGTGAATCAACAAAGAACGATATAAAAGCATCGACAACACACTATAGAAGATTTTTATTGGGGAAAAAGCAACATCGTGTGACGTGGAAGCATGAAAGGTGACGTCTTTATGACACCTCATTGGTGAAGTAAAACCAAATGGTCATAAAACTTGACAAAAATCGAAAGAAGGTCAACTTCCAATTGCTACTCCTGTCTGAGGGAGAGCACTTTTTAAGCATGCGATCAG